CCCAGCATCACCCCAAAAATTGCCCCAACGCTTCCTCCCCGTGCGGAGAGCAGACGCAGCAGAGGAACCCCAAAAATGCTGAGAAAAGGGGTAACTCCACCCCAGCAGTGTGTGTGCGGGGGTGTTTTCCTCTATTTAATGCCCCAACGTGCCCTTCCAGCCCCGATTCCAGCTGGGGTGGGAAGTAACGCAGTGGAGGGGGTGGTCGGATCCTCCCCCCGGGAGGAATTTGGGGAGACAAAGGGGAACAGGGTGAGAGGTTGGAGTAGAGGGTCCCCCATTTTCCCAGGGAACTGGGAGAACAGGAGGGGAAATGAGAATTTTTATCTTACTTTCATTAAATCCTTGAATTTCGTCGGTGTAATACCATCATTTTGCAATGGGGATAATTTCAGGACAAGGGGGACTGCAATGGCATCCTGTCCCTTTTATCCCTTAATCCGTAAGATCACTCTTGTGTGTGGATGCACAATAGGTTTGGGGGCTCCCTGAACCCCCCCCAGGTCTGAAAATGGAGGTGCAGGGGTGCCCCCAAACCCTGGGGACATCTTTCCCCACCCTGGGGACAATCCCTATGGGGAACCACAGGAAGCCATCGGAAATAGGGGAGCCCCGGGGAGCCAGAGTTCTGGGGAGGAGGGGAGCTACAGGGACCCATCGCAAGGAGCTGGGGGTGCGATAGGGGACGAGGGGAGCCAGGGGAAAGCATGGGGGGCTGTGGGGGACAAGGGGATCTGTGGGTCCAGGCAGCTGGGGAAGGGGTTCCTCCGTCGTTTGCTGCAGAGCCCAGCTCCTCCTCACCCCTCTAGGGCTGGGGTACCCCAGGTGCAGGAAGGGGTGCGACACCCCCATTCTTGGCCATTTTTGTGGCAGTTATGGGGTGACCCCCTGCGGGCCGTATCCTGCCCCTGGCCCTCTGTGATTCCCAGGGCTGAGCATGCCCATCTCCACCCCAACTTCCAGCCCCACAGTGGGGTAACAGGTGGCTCCTAGAGGGCAGGTGCACCCACAAGTTTTAGGGTTCAGGGAGAGCAGGGATCAGCCCTAACCAAAGCAACCACTGCCTTCCTGGGCATGGGGCAGCCCGAAAATGTCCTAAAGGGGATGGGGCAAGATGAGGTGCAGAAGAGAACCCACGACTGGGGCTGGGGAAACAGAAGCAGAGGCTCAGAGGCAGCTCTCGCCCCCAGAAGGGAGACCCTTTGTTCCAAAAAAAAAAAAAAAAAAAAAAAAAAAAAAGAGAA